GTTTAATATTTTATGTGTTTGTTTTTGAAGCTGTGATTTCATTGGTATAGCAATTCTCAGTGAGGAAATCCCCCTACTGATGCAGATGGATAACTGTTCTGCAATGTATAGCCTTACAGAGTTTCCTGGGACTCTAAAAGGTTAAGTGAGTTGTCCAGAATCACAAAGCCAACTTACATCAGGGCAGGATTTGAATATAGGTCTTTCTGATTCCTGAGGCTGAGGCAGAGGTCAATACCCCCATGCTGCCTCTCTAATAAATAAAGCTATTTCAGACTTTGATTTTAAAACTGTGTGGAGTACTCCCATTGAGGAAACTACATTAGCCAATAAAAATCAGCAAGTTACCTGAAATTTTCAATCTCAGAGAGGCAATTCAGTATGTTATTTCTCTTCTCAAAGTGTCTTTAATGGCTATGGCTATAGACATGATGATGTCCAACAGCAAAGAAAATAATCCACCATAAGCAAAATTCCCATATCTAGTAAGCAAAACAGGAATATAGATCATAGATACCCTCTGATGTTATTCAGTCAAGGCCAGTTAGGTTTATTGTCTCCCACCTTGGAAATCCCAAGGAGTATGAAATATTCACTTAGAAATTTGCTGGGCATGGATGACTATATATTGTAGCTATGTTTACGATATTGGTTGTTAGCATATGATAAACTGTTTTAATGTACGTCATGATGATGCATAAAAATTTAAATGCTGCTTTTTAATAAACACAAACTGTAAACCCTAAAATCTTTTTAGAATTACTAATTTGGGGTCACACAAGATCACTCAGTGATTAACATGATTGCTTAATTCATTCATGTGTTGCTTAATACGTTCTTTAATCTCAATGAAATCACCACCTCCCTTAGGAACCTAATCCAATTTTCTGAGAGGGTAATACAGAGAACTTTGGATATTCTCCATTATTTATCCTGGGGTCTGAGATGCTCTGGCAATATGTGTTGCAGGGGAGTAGTTAAGCAGGATACTTGAGAGACTTGTGCAAAAAAAAGGAAGTAAGAGATGATTGTAAAGGGGAGAAGGGAATCACTGACAAAGTTGGAAGTGTAGTGGTTAAAAAAAAAATTGGTTATGTGGAACAAAGGGTATAAAATTACAAAGGCTTTTCCTTTGTTGACTCTCCTAGTACTTCTCTGTCCATCTACATTTTACTTATTACTGTTCAAGGATAAGTTCAAATATCACATCTTCTATGGTGCCTTTTCAGATCACTGCAGTCACAGTTCCCTTCTCTGGACTCATGGCCTGTCTGGATTTATATACATTTAACATATTTACTACCTTGCTTGTATAGTTATATAGTATTTAACTTTTCATCTCTATATCTTTTCTCCCCCAGCTTATGTGTAATAAAATTTTGTACTCTGTGTTTTAGACATGAGCCTATCAGAAACAATTTTAATTAATTTAATTAATTAATTTAGATTATTCTAATCTAAGCATTTCTCTTGAACAAGAGACAAGACCAAAGACAGGCTGATTCACTCCATGACTTTAACTTTAATCTCTGAGAAGCTATTTTTGAGTTAAAATTCATAATATTCCTGAACAATGAAAATTTTCCAATATGATCAAGTGAAGTTACAAACCTCAAAGTAAAAGTTCAGTTGACATTTTCATCTTACCTCATTAAGCAAAATAATAGTCAATTCAATCCAATAAACATTTATGAGGTGCCTACTTTGTCAGGCATTGTGCTAAGTACTGATGACACAATTAATAAAAAGATAGTTTCTGCCCTCAAGGAGCTTACAATCTAATGGGAGTAGATAACACACAAAGGGAGACAGGGATGGACTGGAGGCCAGGGGTATCTGGCATGGGGGCATCTTGTTCCATTTTATTTGATGCAGTTGAAACCAGGCAGAGTGGAGTGAGCCACTTAACTTTCTACATACTCTTGGACGATCATTTTCTTAAAATCATTCATCCTTCCTAATCACCCACTTATAGGCAGTAGTTTTCAATTTTTTTGGTTTCAGGACCCTTTTATACTCTCAAAAATTACTGAAGACTCCCCCCCAAGATCTTTTGTTTATGTGGTTTATATCTATGGGTATTTAATCTTTCTACCTAATTTGAATTCTTCATCTGGTGCCTGGGGCCCAGATCCCTCATGATTCCAAGTTGTTAGTTTCCATGTTCTTATTTTAGATCTATTTTGTAAACAAAGCTCTTACCTCCCAGGGAAAGGATGAATAAAAGAAGAAAAAGAAAGAAACTGAAGTGTCTTACTAGTATTATGAAAATAGTTTGGATCTAATGGACCCCCTGAAAGTGTCCCTCAGACCACACTTTGAGAACCATGAACCTTTGCTTTCAGGATTCTCCTTTCCAGCTATTCAAAGACGAATTCAAGATATACCTCCATTAACAGAAGTAATCAAAAACTTTTTCCTTCTCTTAGTCTCATTGTTACTGTGATCACTTCTTGGAGTTACTAGACTTATAAGGAGAAAGGGGCCTGGAGGTGGGTAATTAAATGTTTCAGCTTTTGATAAGAATGATTGAGAAAGATTTTAGTGCTAGACAGTATTTCAGAACTGGCAGTTAAAAATAAGGGTTCTCTTTCACATTAGTTCAAAGGCTTCAGACTAGCATAATTATAAAACATTTTCTTAATATTTGTAAAAGGCAATGTATATATGTGAGTGTGTGTGGGGGGGGGTAGTGGTTAGTCTGCTTTCACAATTATAGACACCTTCAAGAAGGATTAGACTTGATGCTAAGTCACTTGGAAGCTGATGCCTTCCAACTCTGTAACCTATGACATAGAAAGTCTTTGTATCCTCTACAGACCTTACACAGTGCTAGTCCCATAGCAGGTCCTCAATAAATAGTGAACAAATTCAAGGAAGGATGCAAAATCAAGTTAGGTGATGAAGGCTTCTCCCAAATAGTGAAATTTAGAAAGTCAAGCTGAAAAGGTTTCAGAGCTATTATCTAATCACCTGTACTTCTGTCTTAGACTTCTTGAGCAATGCAAATGGTTTATGGGTATACCTGACAGTAGGAGCAAATCATTTTGGAGAAAAATATTTTCTGTTTCTAAATTTTTGACTGATTTGGTATTTTCCAGTTATTCAGTTTTCACTGGTGAAGAATACACACTTTGGGAATCATTCTTCTGAAAGTTTTTAAAAGTTTCCAAAGTTAGATGTTAATGGAATACAGTGGGTTCAGAAGACTATGCTTTAGTATGGAACTGGACTTGGAATCAGGAAAACCTGGGTTCAAATTCTACTTTAGATAAGGACTAGTTGAATGACCCTTGAGCAAGTCACTCAACCTCTCTCTGACTCTGGCACTAATTAGTCCCTAGGACTAATCTGCTTACTCATATAGATACCAATCTGTAATTTCCCTGGAGAGTAGTTTTCTACTGAAAAAAAATTATGGTTTCTTCCCTTTCTACGTGTATGACACAACTTGATTTTGCCCCAACTAGTAATGTGACCTTGAATAAATCTTTTTGGCTAAAATCAGGGGTAACATCTGTTGTTATCTTTTCAAATTATCTCCCCTCTAGGCTTCAGTTTTCTTACCTGTAAAATGAAGGAATTAGACTATCGCAGGAGTAAAATAACCATGGATAGATTTGGGGGGAGGTTTGTGAACTTGGGTGGGGAAACAACTGCAACTTTCTTTTCATAAACTTTTGGTTTCATTGGTAATCCTCTGTATTTTATTTTTTGGATTTAAGCACATTATTCCAGAAGAGATCCATAGGCTTTACTAGACTGCTATGGGGTCCATGTCAAGAAAAAAAGGGTAAGAACCCTTGACTAGATGACCTCTAAGGACCTTTCTAACTCACAAAAAAAAAATCCTGTGATTCTATATGTCAGTGTTACTTGTGTTATGGTGGGGCTGTGAGTATAGTCTCTTAACAGGCTCTCACGAAGCACAGTACAGGTATGGCCCTTGATGCTCTTTGGGCCATTTATTATGAGTAGTGTCAGAAGCACCTGTTCCACCCGTTCCCTTGAATTCTGTATCTTAAGTTCATGCCTTTCTTTCAAAGATGTGTATGTGTGTGTGTGTGTGTGTGTGTGTGTGTGTGTGAGAGAGAGAGAGAGAGAGAGAGAGAGAGAGAGAGATGAAGCTTTGCACTCTTGTTACCATTCCCTTAAGTGTGCTTATGAGATCCGGTTTCAGTTCCCGGGGGTGTAAGCCTGGGCTCCCGTTACCAATCTCCTGGGCTGCTGAGTGTCTGCCTCTCTCTGGGTAGGTAGCTCTCAGGTTCAGGTTACTAGCCCGGTACCTCTGAGCCCGCGCCCTGGTGCAGCATGGCGAGGCCCGCGAAGGAGCAGGGGGAAGCGCCGCGGCCCCTTTAAGAGCCAGGGTAAGGCCTGGCCCCCGGGGCTGCGGGGAGCAGGGAGTGCGCGGAGCGCGGCGGCGGCAGCGGACAAGGAGGAGGAGGAGGAGGAGGAAGAAGAGGAGGAGGAGGTGGAGGGACGACTTCGAGACTTGGGCCACAAAAGTTTTTTCGGCCCCTCCCAACTCCGGGCACGACCCACTCGAGCATCAGCGCGGCCCCCGCGAGGAGGGGGGCCTGCTTGGGGCCGGGCACGCAGGCTGCCCGGCTGGGAGTTTCGGTTTCGCGGGGCGTCGGGAGGGGAGCCGTGGCCGGGACATGAGGAGGAGGAGCCGGCGGCGGCAGCGGCGCGGCGTCCCTGAGCGGCTCGGCCTGCGCTTCACCTGAGCGCCGGCCGGAGCGGAGCCGGGCGCACCGGAGCGGAGCGCAGCGCAGTGCGAGCCGAGGAGCAGCACCTCCGCGTCGCTGTCCCGCGCGCGGCCGGCCCTTTACGGGCACACTCAGCCCCCTCCCCTGCCCCGGGGCGCGGGGCTCCCTGGCCCCAAGTGCCAGAGCCCCCAGAGGGACGCGAGGAAGGCGGGGGAGCCGCGCGCCCCCAGGTGGGCGTGCCTCCCGGGACGGGGCGGACACACCTGTTCCCAGCGCCGCCCCCCTGCGTTCCCGATCCCCTTGACCTCCAGCCTTAGCCAGGGCCCCAGGAGTCCGGGCAACCCCGCTCCCCTCCTACCCACGCCCGACCCTCCCCGCCCTGCACTGTTGTTCTGGTTGCCGGGGTGTCCTGTACTGGTGACCACTTGGCGAGGATGAAAGTGACCGTCTGTTTCGGGAGGATGGGGATTGTGGTTCCCTGCAAGGAGGGGCAGCTTCGTGTCCGAGACCTCACCCAGCAGGCTCTTCAGCGCTACCTCAAAGCCAAGGAGAAGGTAAAGCCAGCCTTTGGATGGGGGTACTACTTAGGGGTGTGTGGAGCAGGACCAAGGAAGGGAGTGCGGCAAAGATGCCGTTCCTTCCTCCCCACACTACCTCTCTACCTGGGGAACTCCCAAACACACCTGACACTTGTCTAATGCCCAGGGTGGAGTCCAGGTAACCCCCCCGGAACTCAGATCCAAGTGTTGGGAACTCCCAGGCCTCTCGGGGCATAGGTCACAGAAGCAGATATATAAAGCCATACTTTCTGCGCTCAGATTTTCTTCTGCATTTCATTTTACTTCTTTAGAGAAGTCTGTTGGCTTTTGTGGTTTAGGAGTGTTGTGAGGATATAGACTAAAAGATCTGGGATTGACCATAATGCTTTTTCAGGCTCTTTTTCTCTTCTTCCCCAAGGAAATTATTGGTATCAAGAGTTTATTTGGTCTAGGTAATAGATGTTTTTGCAAGTAGTGTTTCAACCTCTAATTAGGCTGGTTTTCAGTGACTTGCAGAAACTCTGGTAGGAGGATGAAGTAGTTACTTATACTATCCCATTCACTTTTTTTTTTTTTTGAGAAAACGGTTCCAGAAATCAGTGACAAGTTAGAACTAGTGTTCTATTTCTATATCATGTTAAGGAGTGTTAAAGTGTGTATGGAATTCAGAAAGGTAAGTTGAAAAATAAAACTTACTGTAAAATAAAACCCTTCTTAAAATTGAGGCAGCTAGGTAGCTCGATGGGGCTAGCAGTCAGGATAGACCTGAGTTCAAATCCTGTCTTAGACACTTGTTAGCTGTGGCAAGTCACTTAACTTTTGTTTACCTTATCCACTAGAGAAGAAATGGAAAAGCACTCCATATCTTTGCCAAGAAAACTCCATGGACAGTTGTTGGTGTTCTGTGGTACACAGGATCAGGAAGAGTCAAACAGGACTGAACAATAATTACCTCTTAAAATTCCATAACGGTTTTTGTTTGTTTGTTTTTTTGGTTTTTTTTTTGCTTTGGGTACCTTTAAATTAATTATTTAAATATTTTGTTAATGACCAAAGGGATTTTGTGATCCTAGGCATTAGTATTCCAAGGGCTCTTAGAGTTCATTTACTCCCACTCCTCCCTCCCCCCCCAACCTTTTTAAAACCAGATGAGTAAACTGAAGCTCAGAGAATTTAAGTCACTTGCCCACAAGTCACACAGCTGAGCTGCGATTTGAACCTAGGTTTTCTCATTCCAAATCAAAGACTCTTCCCACTACATACATCTTCTAACAAGACAGAATACAAACTCTGATGTTCGATGCAGTTCAACATTTATTAAGCACTTATGCTGTGTTGCCAGGCACTGTGCTAAACACTGGAGCTACAAAAATAAGGGAAAAAAGAAAGAAAAAAGAAATGGTTCCCACTTTCAAGGAGGCGAAGTTTTCTCAAGGAGGGAAATACAACATGGACAGCATCTAGATTAATATAATACAGGTGAGCATTGGAGAGATGAAAAGTGCTCAAGGAAAATTTGAGGAAAGTGAGTACAGTCTCAGCTGGGGTCAGGGAAAGCTTCATGGAGAAGGGTGCACCTGAACTGAGCTTTTTTGAAGGGAAGACAAGGATTCTAAATGGTGGAGATGAAGAAAATGTGCAGTCTAGAGATGGAGGAAAGTTTCTGTAAATTCAGTGAAGAAAGTAAGTCTAGTTCAGAAAATAGCTAAACATCCACTTTGGCTGGAATAAAGGTGCGCAAAGGGAAGCAGCAGGAAATAAGGGTGGAAAGCTAGGCTGGAGTCAACTTGTGGAGGCCCTTACATTTTGGGTTGATAAATATGTATTTCATCCTGTAGGAAATAGGGAACCCACTGAAGCTTCTTCAGGAGGGGAGTAAAAGTCATCCTTGTATTTTAGGAAAACTGTTTTTGGCATCCTTGTGAAAGATGGATTAGAAAAAGAAGAAATAGGAAGAGTAGGTGAGAATGGATGAGGACCTCAGTGATGATGATAAGAGCAGAATAGAGGGGACTAAAGTTATGATGGGTGTATTTTTGTGTGAGTTTGCCTCTACAGAGATTCTAGAACTAGAACCTTGGACAATCCAGGCCGTGGCAACATTCAAAGAAATTAGAAACTATGTCTTCCAGGGAACTTCATGAAGTGTATGACATATCTCTAAGATGAACATGAACATGTATGACATATCTCTAAATGAAATAACTTCATAAAGTGTATGACATATCTCTAAGATATGTCACTCTTTGCTACAAGTAAATTCTCATACAGAATGACATGGAAACAAAGCACTACTTTAATGAATATATTCGACTTCAGGGATACATTTCATGCTGTTTGTAATAAAGTCATACTTTGGAGAATACTCTAGCTGTCATGAATGTTAAACATTTGTTAAATGCTTACCACCCACAGTATGGACACTACCCCCCTCAAATGTGTGAAACACTTTGCTAGCCATTAGGCCAGATGGATTAATTAGAACACGGTCTCTTCTCATGGGGCTTATATTCCATTTGGGGACATGAAACATACACAAATAACTGTGTGTGGGGGTGTTCACCTGGAGTGTGGGAACTTCTTTAAAAAGTATTTTGATAACTGCATTTCAATATAATTGGTTTTCTGTGTATTTCTTTCTTTCTTACTTTGTGCATTTAAAATCATCATTCTGAGAAGAGGTCCATAGGCTTCACCAGACCTATGATCCTAAAATGATTAAGAACTCAGGAACTGGAAGTTCGTAGAAGGCTTCATAGAGTTATGACATTTGAATTGGGTCACAAAGGCATTTTAGGAATAGAGAATGACATGAACATTTAATGTAATTTACCAAAATTTAACTCCTTACTGACTATAATGGATAAAATCTTACCTTTGTATAGTCCTTTGACCTTTTCAAAGTTCTTTGATTTATCTTTTTTGATACACCTAAAAACGGAGCTGGGCAGTATATATGTTATTATCCTCATTTGACAGCTGAAGAAACTGAAGCTCAGAGAGACTAAAGTACACTTTGGTGCTTAAGGTCCTCTAGTTAGTTAGTAGCCAGACTGGGGCTAGAATAACCCTGTTTATTTGAATATTTCACTCTTGTTTTCATCACATTCTATTGCCTCCTGTCATCCTGACATGTCAGTTTCTATAAAGTATACTTTCTGCACAGCTTTCACCACTGTTCAAATTGTACATTAATGATGAAATTTCTACACCTAGAATTGAGATTTTTTTTTGACTTGAAAATCAATTATAATGTCTGCATTCATATTCCACCAACTTTTGAAAGTTAGCTACAATTAAGAATAGAAATGAACTTCAAGAAAATTTTATCAGAGAATTATTTTGGTGAGGTTTTTTTTTGCATTCCTGTTATAAAAAAATTGATATGTCTTGTACACTTATAAGGCTAAGGTGCAGAGCTGTCCAGGTCATAGGAATATGCTGTAACAGCGGAGCATATGATTCACAAAAAACACCAATGCTTGTTATTATTCATTTTTTCTATTAGATGATGTTTAGTGAATTGCAATTTACTTTTAAAAGGCACTTGCATCATTCGCATTCTGGACTCAATGTAATTTATATATTACAGGACACATTATAATTGCATTGATCAGTTTATTATAGTTACCTGACATTACATTTTTCTGTGTTTATATTTACATATCAGTAAGTTTGTGACATTTAAAGGTCATCTGCTGCTTATAAAATGCTGATTTTTTTCACATTTGTAAAATCCCAATTTAAAAAAATAGCAACTGTGTTTTCCATTCATCTCCTTCCTTCTCCACAAACACCAAACCAGAAATCCACTCCTCTCCTTAAAATTCTTAAACCATTAAAAATTTTGAATAAATGCTCCATGCCAATTGGTATTTCCAATTATTAAAAATTCAAAAGTACATGTGAAGAATGTTTCTTCCATTAGTTATGTGTGAGAAACAAAAGGGTATTAGTAAAGCAAGTTGGAAAATACTGTTTTTGTTAACTTACTCTAAATCAGTGAAATTTTTCAAATGCCTCTTTTTCCTCACAGGATTTCTAAAGTTTGTATATTGATCCTTCCTACTGAAAAGTAATACCCTGTATATATTATGAAATCTTTCAACCTGTGCATGCCATATGAATTTCATTGATAGAAACTTTGGTTTACTTATGAAAAAAGTATGTACTCGAAACTAACTCTTAAATAAAATAAAAATGCAAATCATCTGTAGGCCATCCTAAATTTTTAAAATTATTGATCAAAAACAAATAGTGGTGCCATTTTTCTGTAGAAGGGTGCCAAATAATTGCATTGCCTTAAAATGTAGCAATTTTATATTTGCTAACTACATGAAGGATGAACACAATTGTTTGAGCTCCTATTTTATTATGTAGGTTATATAGACCATATAAAAAAGCAGTCTTGTTTCTGAGTAATACCTCAGGCTTCTTTGTAATTTGATTTGAACTTTCCACATGAAAGAAGAATAAAATTATGTGCACGATCTTGTAGGCCATGGATAAAGAGTGCTGTAAAAAGACATTTATGGGGGAGAATAAGCATAGTAAATCTCTGTAGTTCAGGGGCTTAATTTAATAGACAGTCAAGTTTAAAGATTTAGGATAGGAACTGAGATTTCTAAATAGTCTGGAAGGTAAATGAGGCATAAAGAAACTTCAGGATTTTGTGGGCAGTGTGAGAGAGGCATCAACCACCTGCTGAGGAGAAACAAAGAAAGCTGGTATTTGTGGAATGTAGGGAATAGGCTGAGTCAGCAAGAGATAAGACCGGAAGTAGGTGGGAACATAGATTGATGGAGAGATCTTGTCCAAGACTTCAAAGGTAGAGGAACCTTTAATTATGAGTACTGAAATTTGGGGGTAAAATTTGTGCACATGAATCTTTGCTTCCAATTTGATTGGTGAATTGAGTTTGGGCTATCATTTTGACAAACGGTACCACAAAGGCACTAAAGTAGAAAGAGACAGGAAAGCCTGGGAAGAGAAATATATGACTTATAGATATCCTG